GAGAGGAATCAAGGATCAGTCATAGATTTTCCAGAACATTCAGTTCCCTGAGCATTAAATATAGTTACAACTCTTCAGGTTTGTTGTCATTTGTTGGGGAAAGGTTTTCTAGTAGGAATTTGATGGCTGTATTTTAATATATAGCTCTAATATGTAAGCTGAAGATTTTCTATAAGGTAAATTAAGTAATTATAGATCACAGTAAACTGTGATCATAGAGATAAGGAAAAAGGGAATTCTATCTTATAAAGGGAAGAAAAGAAACTTTCATTTTTCTGCCTACTTAAATGGACATAGGTAAACTTCTGCCTTCTTCTCTCCTCATGGTTCTTGTTCCAAAGTGTGTCTCAGGTGTGATTCAGTCCTCCTCTGAATCTTCCATTTCTATCTGTTGGGTTCACTTGCTCACATCATGGAGACCCATGGCTGAGGGATCCAGGATGTTATGGGGCCACGGTTGGTATATTTCCCTATAGAGGACTGGATTTGTAACCTTAATTTTAGGCATTTTTCCAGCTTTTTCTGCATTTTTTTCCCATTTAACTTGCATCTCACAAACATATTAATAAGAAAAACCTGACTAAATGTCTTTTTTAATGCTTTCCCATGATTTTGGTTTTTTTAGGATGTGAGCGAATATACAAATTTTATGTTTACATTAAGTTTTACACATACCCCTGGGCGCACATATGATTTTAAAAATAAATGGAATATTTGTTTTAAGAATTTTGAAGTTTCTGTCAGTTGCTTGGGCACAAGATGCAATCATATTAACACAAAAGAACAGCATTAAATATCACCCAATAGAGTATGTTTGTTCTTGTTGGCAAAAGCATTAATACAGTGAGTTGCCTTATTTAATAGAAACATCGGAAACCTAACAGAAAATAGGTAGATGACTCTGGCAGGCAAAGTAAAGAAAATGTAGATAAACAAGAGAAGTCAAAGCAAAACTACTCTTCTGCAGATTATAAGACACAAGTGAAACACTAGCTTTATATTTCAGTGTTCTCGCTCTCTGATTTTCTTCTTTCTTAATTTATTTGATTTATCTCATAGAGGATTTCTTTTCCTTGCTATCTTTTTTTTTTAAAAAAAATCCCTTTTTCCCAACTAGAGGTCACTGTTGCATCCTCCAGATGCCGTGTTCTGTCTAAGCACTTCCACCACTGCTGTACACAGGGCTGCGTCCAGGCCTGACCTGGACTCCCTCCTTCTACTCCTGGTTCTACCGGTTCACACTCCCCACGCCCCTGCAGAGAATCTGATCAGCAGTTTATGAAACTCTTGCCCTCGACTCTGGTGCCCTGTGACTCTGAGGCAGAGTTTGAGGCACAAATCCTGGGCACCCCAGAAACGGAGGCTCTGGATGGAATTATCCCCAGGAAGACAGAGGAGGGACATGGCTCTGAGCCTTGGCCTCAGCCTCAGCTACATTTTCATTAACAATATCTTACCTGATTTGAAATCTTCTTCATTGTGTTTTATTCAAAAAGAAAGTATATCAAGCCTATTGATAGTCTGGCATAGTTTCTGAGGCAATGAATTCTGGATCAGAACCTAGATTTATCACTTTGTGACTTCATCCAAGTTTTCAGTTTTCTACATCTTCACATTCTCTCTTTTACACTGGGTTTCATGACACTTTCCTCATAGGGTTGTTACAAAGAGAATGAGAGGGTGGTGTTTCAACAGTTAACAGTGCCAGCCCCCTACTAATAACTCAATATATCATTGCTGTCTCTATCAGCGGCCACAGAAGCAGATCTCCCGCTCAACATTATACTGTGCTGGACTCTGTCGTCCAGATTTATCTTAGTTATATAATCAAAATTTGTCTGTCACTGTGATTCTCAGACTTTTGCTATGTAGTTGATGTGTTAGATGCTTCATTAGGGAACGCCTGTAACACGCTTCTGATCTGTTGGCATCAGGTGCTACATTAATACAATTTGCAAAGACTCCATGGCTGCACAGAACGCCTAGATACTGCTTCTATTTCTTCTTTTTGTAGCAAGCACGGCCTTTCCTTCCTCACACTTAGAATCTGGCCCACGAAACGGGAGATACTGTTTTCTCCCGAAGCCTTTCCAAGTGCTTTATGTTTGGCAACTGACACTATCTTCTTGGGGGTGTCATTTAGATTTTTCCCATCTCAAAAAGCTTTCTGTTCAAATCCTGATACAAAATATGGCATATGATTCCCCTCCTGTCTCCTGATGCCAGCTGCATGTTCTAAATCAAAAAGAGAAACCACATTCTAGAAAGCACAAGGAAACACCAAAAATAAGATACTGGGGGAGGCAGAGTCGAAAATGTAGCATTTAAAGAGATCATCTGTGTAGAGTGTTCTTGACAGCCAAATTCTGGCCTGTGGGAGCTCGCCTGTCCTGTCAGACGCAGACAATAGGCACAGCCCGTGGGAGGACCACAGGGTGTTGTTGCACATCATTGGGCATCACTGGGGAAGGAGCGAACTTCTAGCCCAGTGTTAACATCAGACAAATTGCTTTGTCTTGTGTGCTAACGTCAAAAGCACTGTTCCTGCTTTGAGTCTAAATCACTGGAATACTGGCCCCACGTGGGGGATGCTTCTTAGTCCTGCCCCTTGAGATGCTCTGACCTAGTCTAACAGATGTGAGAGGGTTCCCTCAAATTCCTACCACCACACCCCAGGAGATGCCAATGAGAGCGGGGATCTGAATAGTCTCCTTGCAGCAAAGCCAGATTTTTTTTCCTTTAAAATTAGGACATGTCACAGAGAAAATAGCAGCTGCTTCCTGGAGGAGTCCCAACTTTGTGGCTGTAAGTCCAGCCTCGTCCCCTCCCACTCAGGGAGCCAGCGGCTGACGGCCGGGCTCGCCTTCTACTCAAAACACGGTCCCTGGACTAGGTGGTGGCGTCACCTAGGAGCTCGTTAAAAATTTACAGTCTCAGCAGCCTCCCGGAAAGACTGAACCAGAATCTGCATTTTAACAAGGTCCCGAGGTGGCTGTTTGCTTGTTAAAGTTTCTGGAGACTTCTCTAGACCCGCCGCCCCCCGCAGTGTGGAACTGAATTTTCATTCTCCAGTCCATCGCTGACTTGCATTTGGGACAGATCACTTACTGCTTTTCAAGCATTTTCTTTTTTTTTCATTTCTCATCCATCCATAAAATAAAAATAGGTCTTCATCTTCCTTAGCAAAGCATTTGTGAGGCTCGACGAGATGGATCATAAAGTGCCTTATTCAGTGAAAAATTGAAGTTCCACCATTTTATGTAGAAGTCTAAAATATACACTTGAGAGGAAGGACAATTTCTTGGGAATCCTTGAGGGTCAGACACCTTCATTTATTTTGCTTCAGAAGACAAGGGAGATGGAAATTCTGAACTTGGCTTCTCTACTGATGGGAGAGAGGCCACTGGTCTTTTCCACATTTCTTTTTTCTTGTTCTATTTTTACAATTTCATAAGGCAAGGGAAATAGCTAGTCATTTCTACTATGAAATTACAATTTAGAAAAATATTTACATATAAAGTTTGAAGGGAGATTTCACATATCTACTTAATGGAGGACCCTCTTAAGGTTGAGGGCTAGTTCTGTGGGGTTCACATCCCGGTGTTGGTCTTTGCGTTGACATTGGGAAGATTCCTCCCCGCTTCTTTGGGGTCAAGTTCTAGTGTGTTTCATTGTGTGCTGTTATCTTTTGGGTTCTGGTGATCTGATTTATCATCTCTTCTGTTGTTATTGGGGCTCATCTCATGGGCCTGTGAAGAGCTGACTGAGCACCAGTTCCCTGCAGGAGTGAAGACTATGCAGCCCCTGGCGAGGTTGTGGGTGGGTCGGCTCCTAGGTATGTCCACTGTGTGTCTAGCGATACGTTGTGCATCTCTTAGACAACGAGAAAAAAAGCCAATAAGGGCATTTTCTTGATATCAACTCCTGACAGCAGCATTTATTATTTTGTTGTCCTTAGCACAGTTCTGGAATCAGGTTATTAAATATCATCTTCCAGTTTGTCCTTGAGTCACTGATGGTTGAGAGGCAAGACCATGTGATGTTTTGTCCTTCATTTTTCCCATTTCTCCAACACCTTTAACTTTCTCTGAACATACTCATTGCTTACTATCGTCTCCAGTTTCTAAGGGAATCCAAATAGGGAATATCTGTTCCCTGAACATTATTAGGTCAAATTTTATGGGAATTTGGTATTAACTTTCAGTTAACCCAATAGGTCCATGTTACCTGGGTGTAAAATTTAAAGTTCTGCTATTACTTAAAGGATCGAGTTCACATACAGAAAGCACCTTCCTGAATGTGTTGAAGTTTGAATGAGGGGAAAGAAAGTATGTGTGGGAGGGAGAGAACTCTGACATGTTTAACATGTGACTGGGTTTCTTATGAGAGGGAAATTTGGAAGCAGAGATGGTCACACAGGGAAAACACTCTGTGAAGGGCAGAGTTGTGCTGTCACAAGCCAAGGAACAGCCAGAAACTGAGAGACACGCCGGAAACACAGCCTCCCCTAGTGCATTTGAGGAAACATGGCCCTGTTATTACAAAGTACCACTAGCTGGGTAGCTGGGACAACAAACATGTATTGTCTCACATTTCTGGAGGCTAGAAATCTGAGGCCAAGGTGTCAGGAGGGTCTTGTTTTAGGACTGCAGTGTCTACTGTTCTTGTCTTGATTTTTAAAAAAGATTTATTTATTTTTATTTATTTATGCATACAAGAGCTGGGATGTAGGCCAGAGGTGCAGCGGGTGAGAAGATTCACCAGAGACAGAGTCTGGAGAAGAACAGGCAGATTTATTGAAATACACTGCTGAGGGAAGCTGCTGGTGTGACAGGAGAGGTCTGCTGCGCCATGTGGGTCAGCTCCCTGGCTGGGGATCGAACTCAAGCTACAGTGGATGACAATAGTTTGAGTACTGAGACTTTTAAATCCCTGTACCACCAGTGTTCTCTCCTTGATTTTAACTCAGTTTACTGTTATTGCCTTTTTTTTTTTCATAGAAGAAGCGAAAGTATCTGACGATGATGAAATGGAAAAGCTCTACAAATCATTAGAACAAGCTAGTCTATCTCCTCTTGGGGACCGACGACCTTCAACCAAAAAGGAGTTGAGAAAATCCTTTGTTAAGCGGTGCAAAAATCCATCCATAAATGAGAAACTCCACAAAATCCGAACTTTGAATAGCACATTGAAGGTAAAACATTTCAGATTGGGGATGAAGTCTGTGGAAGTGAGGAGAGAATGACTGATTCTTGCAAAAAGATTCATGCTGACCACAGTGTGTGTGTGTGGGTGGAGGGGGGAGCAGAAAATGCAGATATAATCTCTGCAGGTTGAGGTGACTCTGGACAGCATAGAGCATGGGACATTCCCAGGGTAACACCCAACAGAGTTTTCTGCAAAAGACCTTGATTTTTACTTTCATTTGGTAGAAAATGTCAAATGTTAAGCTCCTGGGAGGGAAGGACCACTTGCAGTTTGTCCTTTTATCCAATATTGATGAGCATAAACAGTTTTATTTGTGAGATCTTGCATTTTACCTGATTCATTAGAGGGTTATTCTTCTGTACTACTTTCAGAAGAAAATTTCTAGCTTCACCTATAGCAACGACTAAGTGACTCTCAGCGGTAGGTTCTAGAGCCAAGAAACACCAGGGAAGCTGGGAAATACACACTTGAAGATAATAGAGCAGCAGATGTTTCCACAATAGGAATGAGAGACAGTGTACAGGATGTACTGAAGTTATTTTCAGGGCCTCCTGTAACAAAAAAAAAAATGGTGCTTTATGTCAAAAGCATTTTGCTTTCACATTGAGATTATGGCATAAACAGGAGGAGGCTGGGATATTTTATAAAATAGTCATGAATTAGCAAAGGATTCTGAAAAGTCTTCATAGATCCTGCAATTTCATTCTTTTTTTGTGACTGTCCTTTTCTATTAAGAGTTTATGTCTTTTGGCAAGAAGAAATATCAGCAATTAAAAAGACAAGGCCACAAAGAGATGACTGAGAGACCTTTAGTCAAATGTCCCAGTTAGTCAATAGAAGTGGAAGCCTCCATAAAGGCTGCAAAAATTAGGCTGAAAAATAAAAGGCAGAGGTGAAGTTAAATTATACAAAGGAAAAATCCCAAAGCAGAGAAACTCTCCAATATTCAGTGATGAAAGAAATCATTGGCACTTTTAGAAGCAAATATGTTAAATCCCACAGATTGTATAGAGTTGATGTTGGTCTTGCACCGCAATATGTCATAGCATGTGGGGATTTTACTGTTTTGTTTATGATTACTGAGGGTGAACACATTTTTCATTGAAAAAATAGTTTCTGAATCTTACTATGCACCAGAAATATTCTAGGCCTCAGGGGCCATTGAATGGACCCCACTGGACAATAGAAACAAGAGAAAAGAGTTAGAATGGAATGTGATGAGCACTGTAGTTGCTACAACTTGGGGTGCTTCAGTCGTCCAGAGACCCTAGTCAGGTACACTGTCTTGGAGATGCTGACAGCTGGCCCATGAGCAGGAGATGAAGGATACCCAGAGAAGGAAGGTAATTCACGACGGAGGAAATGGCCTCGGTAAACTCCTATCAGCGGGTGACATGTTGCATCACATTGGAAGAAGAGGCTGAGAAGAGTGTGGGAAGTTGAGACTATTTCTAGATGGAGAAAGACCAGGGTCTCAGCTTCCCATAGGGCAGCAATCTCAGAATTAGAGATTTTCACAGGACCATGCCTGTCCTGGCCACAGGGACCCTGGGTTTTGCAAAGTGTCAAGGGATTTTTGGCCTGTAACGTGACCCCTGACTCTCCAAGCCCATGGGATGAATGGACTCTGTAGCTTTTTCTTTGCTCCCTGTGTACTAGTTACCTATGGAGAGGTAGCAAAGCACCTGCAAAGGCAGCAACTGCACACATTTCTTTTTCTCAGTTTCTGTGGGCTGGGGATCTGGATGTGGTTAGGTGGTTCCCTGGCAGCTCCATCACAGGGTCACAGGCCTGGCTCAGCTGGGCTGCACCCCCTATCCCCTACACCAGGCAGGGTGTGCTTCCAGCTCTCTCTTGGGCTCTGATGGGATTTGGTTCCTTGCAGGAAGTTAGATGGAGGGTCTTAATTGTCCGTTGTCTCCTGCCTGGAGGCTGTTCCCAGTTTCTCTTCATAGGGCAGCAACCCAAATGGAAGGAGACTTCTCAGAGTGAGTAAGACAGGGAGAGTGAGAAGAAAGGTCCCAGCTCATCCCAGTGGTGACATCACATTGAATCTGGTTGAATCACATTGCGTATCCTGCAGAAGCAGGTCTCTGGTTCAGCCTCCATTTCAAGAGGGGGATGACACTCAGGTACAGGGCAGGATGGAGACTACTCTCTCTCCTGGGCATTCCTTTCGGCAGATCTCTAAGTTTTCCCAAATGGGAAGGAGGATTTTGAGGTCCATGGAATGTAACCCGTGCTCTGTGGGCCTACCTCATTGGGAGGTAGGAGACCAGGATGATGAGGAGCTTGGCCTGGTTGGCATCAGTAAGTGTATCAATAAGTGTATCAGCCCATTCATTAGAGAAAGATAACTTGGTCTGGATATGTTTGCTCACGTCACAGCTATGAGAATTATTTTATCTATTGAATGTATTTAACTCTCTTTGAAACTCAAAGCAGTCAGGACAGTGGTTGCCTTTGGTAGGGAGGAAGTGGCTGGAAAGGAACACAGCTTTTGGTGTGCTGGGCGAGGGTCGTTTTTGACCTTGGTGGGGGCGGCGCAGATGCGTTCATTTTGTGAAACTTCATCAAACACAAACTTTATTATTTGTGCACTTTTCCCTATGTATGTGACATTGTATTGTACATATTCAATTTATTAAAAAAAAAAAACTTGAAAGCTAGAGTGTGGATAAACATAAACAATAGTTTCTTGCAGAAACAAGGAACTGTTGTTAACAGTAGTGTTGATATTAGTGATAGGCACATTCTATAAGTAAAGAAAAATCTCTCTACTGGTATTATCTTAGAGGAAATGCTCTATGGAAATTCTAGGAAGCTGAGCAATTTATGAAGGCATGCACTAAACGTGGGTTGTGGGGAACATCGGGTTGCTCAATATCCACTGGCTTTTGGCTAAGCTTGTCCTGATTTTAAAATGAATGAGTAACGGGTCTCACTGAGACTTTCTCTTGGGGTGATGCTGGCTTATGACAGAGGATCCTCCTTGTCCAGTAGCTGCTCTGCAGGATACATTTCCAAGGCTAGGTCTTGAGTCATACCATGTTCTGAATATCTGGAGTGAAAAATGAAAATACAGCTTCTCTTTTTGATAGTATAATTTGGAACCCCCACCAACCTTGCTGGCTGCCAGAAAGCTAGCAGGGTGGGTTAAAGGCCATTGTCAAAGCCTTAGGAGCCTCCTGCACCACAGGGGAGCCCAGTGGCCTGAGGCTGCTGACCCCGTGGGGGCCTGTCCTTTAGGAAGGAGCTCAGCGGGTTTTGTTGTTTAATTAGTTTCCTTCCCCTCTGTTCTTATCTAGGTTTTTTTTTTTTTTTTTAAATCCATGAAAGATCTAACATACTTGAGCTTAAATAGAAGAAATTTGAAATGTTTAGAGCTAAAAACCACAGCTCAAAGTTAAAGAAACTCTCCTTTAAAACATTTTTATCAGGTTTAGAGGTGATTAATTTATTTTTGCCTTTAAAAAATCACTTTTCCAAAGTATAATGATCTGAAAAGATCTTACTAGTTTTTTCAATAAATTATTAACTCTCCCTCTGAAGCAGATGTGAAAATCTCCCAAAGACAAGTAAAACTGCTTAAATGACCTCACGTGAATGGCAGTACAGTGATGTCAGTGGAGGAGACTTGCTATTTTGTAGAAAAGGATGTTTGTGAGAGCCTCCCTGGTGGCGCAGGCGGTTGAATGCAGTGCTGTGAAGCTGTCCGCAGCCTTTGCAGGGCAGGTTCGATTCCTGACCGGCCAGGGAGAAACACACAGGGCGCAGCAGACCTCTCCTGTCTCGCCCGCTGCTCCTCTCAGCAGTGTATTTCAGTCAGTCTGCCTGTTCTGTTCCCCACTCTGTCTCTGGTGAATCCTCTCAACCCCTGCACCTCTGGCCTGTACCCCAGTTCTTGTATGCATGAATAAATAAATCTTTTTTAAAAAAATTAGTTAAACTATGATTTTTTTTTTTTTTTTAAAGATGTTTGTGAATCCTTGATGTTGCAGTCAGAGAGAGAGAGCAGGCGCTCCTGGCCCTGCCAGCCACCCGACTCACCCGCTCTTACCTCCTGCCTGTTTCTTGCTCCTGGTCATCCTGCTGTTTCCCCCTCTTTGGTTATACCAGAGCATGACCAAGGCACACCCAGGGATCCCCAAACTTGCGCACTTTAAAGGGGTCCAGCCACCCGTGCACACAAGGGCAAAGCAAACTCAGTGTGAGCGCTCTTTAATGCAATCAGTGTGTGCAGAGAGGGGACAGAGGAGGCTGATCCTGATACAAGTTTCTCAAAGCACCCGAGGAGCAGCTGGCATTTTAGATGCTATTCAAAAAGAAGCTGCATGATTGATTATTGGATTGAACAGCACCGATGGCCTTAACAAGAGCAGCTGAGGGGTGACGGCAGGGGAACCTGAGGGCCGAGGCCTGAACAGCATGGGCACAGGGTCGTGGGAGGTAAGGTGAGGAGGGAAGGATGAGCTGGAACAGCAGTGTGGGGTCAAGAGAGGACTTCAGCGGTGGGAGAAGGAAGACCATGCATGGAGCCAGTGAGGATGAGCAGGTGGAGATGGAAGCTGGGAGAGAGAATAGCTCGAGTAAATTCTCTAGTAGGGGAGAGAAGGTGGCAGTCACCAGTGGAGAGAATGTAGATATTTCACCCCAATGAACAGGAGTGATGATGCCACATGCTCATGCTGATGCAGGCAGCGGGCAGTAGGGACGTGGAGAAGTGTTCTAATTGCTTCCATTTCTGCAGAAAAATAGAGCGTACGCTCACCAGCTGTGAGTGAGCCTGGGGAGGAAGTATGAGAAAAGATGAGGCGTTTTGAGGTTGTTATTTGAGGAAAAATGGGTGAAAAATATGATGACAGAGAGAAGCAGGAATCCTCTGCTGCAGTGGTCAGAAGTTTGAACTGCAAACAGCGGACACGGAGGTCAACTTTGCTACACACATGCCTGCTGGGGGCGGCCAGAGAGCGCTGGCTCAGCAAGCAACATGTGCCAGGTGAGGGGACACGGGTGAATGAAACAGGCGTCCTGTCACCTGCCTTAAGCAGCTTTAGCACAGGTGTGGTGGCAGATCCAGGGTCATCTCAGCATGACGCTAAGTTCTCAGTGTGCCCCGAACGTGGGAAAACACAAGAACATTCACAGACCTCCTCAGCGTAATCTGGGGGTTCAGGGGATATTTTTTGAGTACATGATGCCTAAAATGAGAATAGATTTAAGGTTTATAGTAAAGATTGGAATGTGTTCCTGGTGAAAGCAACCCTGGGATCAGAGTTGATCCAGTGAGTGAGGGTAAGGAGGGCCCCCCCAATGTGATGTGTGGGGAGATATGGTCTGGTGTGTGTGTGTGTAGTCAAACTCACACTCTTAGAGGAGAAAGTAAGAAGGGAGTGGAGGATCCCACAAAAGGACCTCAAGTCCATGGAAGCTTGACATTAAGGGGGCCCTTAAGAAGATCCAGCATTCGAGGAGGCTCCCTGGCCGGCACGCAGAGGGCAGGGATAAAGTGCACATTGGAGGCAGGGAGCCCACTTAGGAGGCTGTAGCAGCAGAGCAAGGATAATATTAGTGGATTTTATATCTCAATTGGATTCATAGCTCTAAGGATAGAAGAAACAGCGATAGATTTGGGATAAATCTGTAAGGACTGTGTGATCTTTTTTTGGATGTAGTGGTTGATGCATCTTATTTTTACTTCATTACTTGACTATAGAAAACTCCCCCAGTCCAACTCAGATATTTCAGAAATGTGCATCATTGAGCTCATGGGAGGCAGGTGACATAATACGAAGAGATGGTTTATTCTATTAGCATCATTGGAAGATTGTTCTCATGGAATGTTGGTGGTCTTGAATAAAATGACAGCCTATATGTTTATTCTGTATAAATATGTGTGATTACTTAAACATTAAGATAATTTAATAAAATATGAAAAAGAATTTTTTATCTTATGTCTTAGGTAAAGTACTATGTTCCAGTTTACTCATTGAAGAGTGAATGTTCAGTGAAATGGTCACAAAATTAGGAGTTTTAGGAGGGCCAGTGGTCACACTGAGGCAGGTGTGATGCTGTGCAATAGGGGTCCATCAAGAAAGAGCAACCGGGAAGATCTTGGCTCTATGTCTGCTTCTTCCACTGCCATTTGGGTGGGAACTTGGCTTGTTTTCTTTTTTTTTTTGCATACAAGAACTGGGGTATGGGCCAAAGATGTGGAGGGTGATGAGAGGATTCACCAGGGACAGAGTGGGGAGCAGAATAGGCAGACTGAAATACACTGCTGAGGGGAGCAGCGGGGAGCTAGGAGAGGTCTGCTGTGCCATGTGGGTAGCTCCCTGGCTGGGGATAGAACTCAGGCTGCAGTAGGGATAGGCTGGGACTTAACCCTTGGGCCACCAGGGAGTCCCCTGGAACTGGGCTTGTTTTTGACATGCATAGGTAAAGATGTCTCTCCACACCTCCTAGGACTGGCATAGGGATTAGAATATTAATGTTTAAAAACACTTTTATAATTTTCTGCTCCCTATATATGCATTCATTTGTAAAAGGGCAGAAGCTGGTTAATTAAAGGTAAGCAATGACATCGACCCTTCCTTCTCTTTTTCCTACTTGAACAGTGTAAAGAACACGACCTGGCCATGATTAACCAGTTGCTGGATGACCCGAAGCTGACAGCTAGAAAATACAGGGAGTGGAAAGTCATGAACAGCATGCTGATCCAGGACATCTACCAGCAGCACCGGGCACCCACATCTGCCCCGGAAAGCACCCCCCAGTGACTCAGAACCACCTCCTCCTTCTCTCTGGAAAATTCTATTTGAGGACAAGCCAGGATTCTGTCCCCTTATAACTTACCCCAAGCAATTATTCAAAATGTTGCCAGAGCTTACATTTTTCCCTTAAAAATGAAAGCTGCAACGCAGCCCTCCTCAGGCATCAGCTCCCCCTGTAAAGATGCAGTTTAGGGACGCCGAGTGCCACCCGAGAGCAGCAGCACCTGGCTGTACCTGTGCAGCTTCCATGGGGACCGGACCGGAATCCAGATGAACAGCTTTTGTGTCCCTACTGGGAACTCACGGTTGTGGGCCTTGGGTGGGGTGTGAGAAATGAGTCTTCTGTTTCCTGCTCTCAAGAGAATCGCAGCATCTGGACAAAAGATCCCGTCTTACCCGCGATAGTTATTCATAGAATGATTCTGTCTCCCCAAAGAAGGATGTATATATTCCACCTTGTTGGGTAAATAACTACTCTGAATCATGCTGAGTTGGGGGGATGGTTTCCTGCAGCCGCCGGAGCAGGACCAGCGTGGGGGTGCAACCCACATCCCCAGCCTGTGGTCCAGAACGAGGTGTCTTCTCCAGGCCTTGAGAAACCTTGATGAACAGCGTGTCAGGGGAGGCACGTCTGTGCTCCGCTCCCCCAAAGGATGGCTTGATAGCTTACCCAGATGATGGCGGGGTATCTGGGTCCTGTTTCCTTTTCACATTTACCCTGGGGGAATCTCTACTTACCTGGAGCAGTTCTAACTCCCACGGGGGACAAAAAGGAGCCCACCAGGAGAATTGTGGTCATGTCCCTGTTTGGTGTTAAGACATGTCTACATTTACACCCAGCATCCCTGGGAGCAACACGGACGAGGTGATTCCAGTGCCCAAATTCTTTTAATATCTTTATTGAAACAAACAAAAAACCCAGCAATCCAACAAAAACAACAGCAGAGATATACGTGATTGCTTTATTTTTGTATGTTTGTGTATTACTTTGTGTGTTGTGTGAATAGCTACATATAATATGTTTGTTATTTAAGTATATTTATAGAAGTTCAAATGATGGTGTTTAAAAGATGACATACTGGAATATGTTTTGCTCAGTATATATTCTCCAAGTGTATACTTTTTGCTTGAGAAAAATAGCAGTACTTTTGATTCCTTGGAGTTATTTTGTTGCACTATGATGTATGAGGAATGCTCAGGAAATCTTGTAGGGTAAATGTGGGAGCATGCATTCATAATCTTTCCTTTTCCTTGTCCCTTTGCTTCCCTTCCGCCCTGTCTCCCCAGAAAGTTTAGATTTCTCTATAGATTGTAAGTCACTCTCTAAACTGGAGACTTTTATTTTAGTTTATCCATTCTAGTAAATAAGCTTTAAGCTTTATGCCATTTATGCCCACAAACCCTACACCAAATGAGAGACAACTAATATAGTCTTTTGTCTAAAGACTAAAAGAAGACATAGAAATTTGGAGGTCTGTTGTGAAGGAGAACTCATTTTACTAGAAAAACATGATGAAAAGTCTTCACTGATATCACCATGAATATTTCTTACTGTAAGAATAACCACAACCCACCCAACTCCGCTTCTGGCCTGACCCTTAGCACATTATCAACATGACTTGGGTTACTTTATAGAGTCAAAGTGTGGCTTGACATTCAAATGGAAATAACCCCCTGAGTTTTATCTGCAAACTGAATGGAAACAGTTGTTGAATATTTCCTTAAGTTGTACTAAGAAATCTCGATACTTTGTCAACAACAACCTTTGCGTTAAGAAATAACAGCAGGAACCAAGGTGTTGTCCTAGGAGCTCCTGTAAGACAAGAGGCCGGTCAGTTAGGCCGGTCAGTTAGGCCCAGCAGGCATTCAGGAGTGGGATTGGGTCAATGGAGGAAGCAGGCTGACTCACAGGTGCCTGCTGGCCCTTGGAGAGAGTCACCGTTCAGGCTGGTTTGAGGGGCCTGTCTTCTAATTTCTTTACTCAGGAAATTATTGATTCTGTGTGTAGTCAGCTATTCAAATGTTGAGTAGGATTCACAAAGCAAACAAAGTTTTGAGGGAAGAGGAAGTAACAATTGTACAATGATCATCCTCCTTCATTCCTTTGGTTGCTTTGGTTTGTAACACCAACCAATAAATTCCAAAAAAGTCTTTTTTTTTTTTTTAAAGATTTATTTATTTATTTATACAAGCACTGTGGTACAGTCAGAAGCGTGGGAGGGTGAGAGAATTCACCAGAGCCAGAGCGGAGAGCAGAACAGGAAGAGTGAAGAAATATACTGCTGAGGGGAGCAGCGGGTGGCAGGAGAGGTCTGCGCGCCATGTGGGACCCTTGCCCAGCGGCCGGGGATCGAACCGGTGCTGCAGAGGCTGCGGGCAGCTTCTCAACCCAGTGCTCAACCGCTGTGCCACCAGGGAGGCCCCCAAAAAACCTTTCTTGAATGGAAGTGCTCCAGAAGCTTTTAACAGGTCTTGCAAATACCTTCAAGACTTGCTTTGGCCTGTCATTAACCCATATTAACTGACCCTTTAGTGTGAAATCCTCATACTGCTCCATCACACAGGCCTGTGGGGTCCCTATGATGACTTGACCAGGCCTTTCAGTTATTTTAAAAGTCAAGTTACTCTGGACGTGCTTTTGCATTGTTGGTTATAGCAGTTACTTTGCAGAACTGCCCAATTGTAAGTTAAAATGAGTGGCACACTTTTATACCCTGCTCTCCTAGCCCCACCCCCCTTTAGCTTTTTTCCCTCTGTAAACACCTTCACTCAGTATTGTGTTGTGTTAGGAAGTGGGGGCTACTGCAAAAGCAGCCACCTAGAGGAGAAGGGACAATAGTGGTATGTATAAAAGAGTGGGTGTACATTTCATGACAAGGGGTAGCACTGGCCCCTCTTTGAAGCCATTTTTCTGGTCCAAAGGATATTGGATTATTTCTACTTTATTCATGGAGAGTGCCCATCCATGAAGTAGATTTTGGGTAGTTTCACCTGGTCCCAGGTGAGGCTCCTCTACCCTATCCTGTAGCTGAAGGGTCTGAGGACTTTGGAATAACACAGACAATGGTAGCTCAGGAAGGAAGTGGATGATCTGAGCACAAGGAGCCCCAAACCTGGGGCACCGCCTCTGGATTAGGATCCCGGGGGGACTCCTCTTTGGGGCTGAGAGGAGGACGACAGCCTGTAGCCCCAAACTGGTGCCTGATATGAGACCCTCGCTGGTGAGAACCTCACAGCACAGACTGAGCAGATGGTCTTGTTCTGCAAGGACATCTGTGGCTTTTAATAATTCTAGTTTTGCCACAAATTCAGCACATCAGAGGAAAGAATCATCCAACACACTATCAAATACTCCAAGAAGCCTAAGGAAGAGACTGTGTTTGGAGTCAGATTTCTGCAAGAAACCAAATGCCTTATGTTCACGGAGCACTTTTTAGTTTGTAGAGTGATGTGTCTTGGGTTCCTCTCCAGCGCCCCAGTGGTCTTTGTGGCATGATTGTGGATTATCAGTGCCCCTTTAGACCAAGGGAGGATACAAGCTCTGAGAAGTGAGGCATCTGGGGGGAGCTGCAAGTGCTGGGGTGGGACTCGGACTTGAGTTTGGCTCCTCTGCTCCTCAGGACGCCCAGGTGCTCCCTCCCCTTGACCTTGCTCAAGTGCAGTCACTGCTGGGACTCGGCCCTTGACAGGCAGGATGCCCTCCACTGGGGAAGTGGCTTTGCCAAATCATCATCGATTCCTGAGGGGCCTCCTTTTCCTTGAAACGTAGAGTCTTCAAGTCCCCAACGGTCAGCGTCCCTCCTGCTCCTGGGCTGTCTGCTCATGTGTGAATGATACTGCTTTGAGGTCCGTGAGCTCCTCGGGTGTGAGAGATAGAAAGAGATGGAATGCCTTGGGTTTTTTTTTTTTTTTTTTTTCCTTTTCAAGCATGGCAGGAGATGTTTGAGTCCAGCTTAGTGATAGGGGTTTGGCCCTTGAACTTTTTCTTCTCATGTAATTATAATTGTCCTCAGATAGCCTTTAAATTACAAATAATATCATAGAGATGTAGCATAAAAGAGAAAATACACTTTAAAGTCTTCTGAAGGGAGGCGACAATGACAGGTAATATTTTGCTGTAATAACACAGATTGAGTGAGTCATTTAGGCACCCAGGGTGTCTGTTCAGAAGTCATTACAGACTGAAAAGGTGCCCTGGCCTCCTGAAGTCAGAGCTGCCTCTCTTCTTCAATCTAATTGAAAACAACAATGTTTGGTTTCAATTTTCCAATTTATTTCCCTTCCAATTTTTTTGTATACTTACCTCATAAGAGAAGGTGAGTCCATGAAATCGGAGGTGACTTCCCTGCCCAAGATGTCGCTAACAATAAAAGCTTCTGAACGCCACTATGAAATGGACTGGGGAGGAGTCCCCCACCCTTCACAGAAAGTCTGTCTCATGAACACGATATTGAACAGCTACATGTGTCTCTCTGTTGTGAGACAGGAAGCAATTTCCTGGCCTCTGCACATCTTTACCCTTCCCCTCTACAACCACAGACCACAGAGAAAACATTAAAAATGGATTATACTTTAAAACTTAGTTCATTTCTCTTGTTGTGAGGAGACTCAACTGCGCTTACTGGTATTTCTCTACCCTTAGTCCAAAGGGGAAGCATGCCCCATGGAGACATTTAATATTCCATTTATAAAACCCAGGATTTTAAATCACCATGTATTTTAATGCCCTTGCATGATGGGGATGTGACTTTTAGCATTGCATGGTGTTTGGGGGCGAGATGTCAGTGTGGAAACGATCCCTTCAATTTCATTGTGTGTTCATTGTCACTTGCCCTTGGACTAAATTGAAAAACACAGGCATGGCTCATCTCTCCTGCTTCATGTTTCTGAGGTTGACTTGTAAGAAAACAATAAAGACGAGAAAACATCTAGTAAAATGATATGCAAACAAATTTGAAATACACGTCTGTGTTCATTTTCTTCCTGCAAGGGCTTGCTCACAGAACAAACTCCCTGGCAGGGCCGAATGGCGGCGCTTTTACCGTCTACAAAGGTTAGAGCACCCTCTGGTGGTCTTCACAAAAATAATTGCTTCTAGGAGATGTGTTACTCTTACAGATCTTACTATGTTGGGAACTCTATTTGCACAATTCACTCCAATGGTCCGCAGTTCTCAGGTTAATTAGTATGAAGACATTTAGTTTTTTCATAAATTACTGTTGATCCACAACCTTTGACTTGCATATCTTATGACCTCTTACCAGGCATCTACATTTCTGTTTAGAGAATTAACAAAATATCCAGATTGGAACGAATACTTTGACAATGAGTGTGTATATAAAATCATCACAATGTGCACTTCAAAATATATTACAATTTTATTTGGTAATCATACCTCAATAACGTTGAAAAAATTTCAGATTATAAAAATGACATCCTGTAGCACATAAGTTCCTGAAAATATAGAATATTTCTGTGTAAACTGAGCAAAGAAAATAGTGAAATAGCAAAATGCAGTGTCTTTATTTTGGACTCACTCCTTGGAGGACAGTGGCTTGCATCTGAATTTGAATCACACCCCCTTTGCTGTCCACACTAACAAAGCTCTTCATTTCTTCACTGACCTCAACATTCTCAACGTAGCTCCGAGCTACACTCTCTTTTTCTTCATGCTGCCATCACCAAACACATCTAGGTTCTTCTATAAAAAGAGTAAAGTTTATTCTAGACCAAAGGACTTATTAGCAAAAGACCCAAGTACAGCATCTTGATTCTAAACAATCTTATATTTGTGACCTGTTGCTGCTGTAACAAATTCCCAAAATTTATCCCCTAAAAGTGTGTTTTCTTACAGTTTTGGAGTTCAAAAGTCTGACTTGACTCTGTGGACTAAAATGAAGGACACATAAACATTTTGTTTAGAGAATTAAAAATTAAATCTTTTGGAGGCCCTGGATCGCCCACTTTCTTTGCCTCTGCCCCTCATCCATTTCCAAAGCCATCACCGATGTGTCTCTGTGTCTTCGCTGGTCACCTCTTCCTCCTCCAGACTCTCAGGACCGTGGTGATTACATTGGGAAGTCCAGGCAATTGTTTGATGGTAACTCACCAGCAACCTGAAATCAGTTCACAGCCTAAATTCAACTTTGTCCTGATTCCCTTTTTAACATGCACACAAGTTCCAGAGATTAGAATGTGGACACTTTACCAACAACCTCCCTTCCAGTATCCTGCTTCACCTCTGAGAACCAGGCATTTCTCTGGAAATGAAAAGATTTTCAAATTTTAATAACAAGCCTGAAAGTGCCTTGTCATTCCATGTTGCCTAAATTTCACCAAGATATGCTCACCATAGGAAAAGTAATTTCCTCTTCATGAGCAGAAAAGCAAAAGCATCCCTAGCATTTTAAAATCACACGTCCACAGATAGAACAGGCACAGTATCGTAACCATCAGGTGAGGGTTTACAAATGCACTCATTTAAAAGCAAAGCATTAAAAAGTCCCTTTTGGAAATTGATAGCTTGGAGCAAAGACTTAGTCTTCAAAACCTGGCCTCTGTGAGCTGCTCTGTGCCACCGCTAACCCATCGAGGGGCTTGGCTGAGGCTCCAGCTCCAGCCTTCTGTGAGTAGACAGTCCAAGTGTACTGAACAGCACAGAATACCCCTGGGCTTGGCCTTTGTAAATCACAACTGACCAGTATATTTGTCTTTCCTCTTTAACAAATAACACTCACTATAATTACTGGCGATTCCTTGATGCTGCTTGCGGTTGTTCTGTCACGTTTCAGGTCATAAACTATTGACACTGAAGTCTCTATTTGTGCTCACGTCTGGCTTGTTCATTCAGAGCAAGATTTAGGGAGGAACAAAGTTCCCAGGCAAATGGCAGCCTGGATGTTTCACCAGTTCCTCCCCTGGCACCAGAAGTTGCTATGGATGCTGTGATGCTGGTCACCTGGCCAGAGCTGCCAGCTTCTGGTTGCTATGGGGTTTTGCAGCTACAGCATCCCCCTTTTCTAGAAATTGTCCTCAGCTAAACAAGAACATTTTGCATGAGGAAATCAGGCTCTCCATCCCCAATCAGGGTAGCTGCGGCCAATGCCTGACTTGGTATTGATGCCCCATGAGGTGAAAGGGGCTGGTCGCCTAGTTTCAGGTGGAACCCATTTTGTGCTGCTATCAGGCACCACAGCTTACCTGACCCATCAGGATGAAATCATGGACAGCTGGAATCTCAGCCCTGATTACTGTTCTGTCTCCGACCTGCTGTCCCTCACGCCTTTCTGAAAACAGTCCCCCAGTAAATCCCTTTACAGGACTTCCTGCCTTGGCTTCTCGTCTGACCAAAGGTACTTTCCCTGGGAATTGGTCCTGGGAGGCAGGCTTGAGCATGGGTGGAGTCAGAGAGGTGCATCCTCCTTGAGGGCAGGCCTGCTGGCGGCCTTTAGTCAGTGCAGCACAAACAGACCTGGCTGGCTGCAGAAAGGGATTCCCAGGTCTTCAAGCCACAGCGACCTGAGATGAGACACAGGAAGGGAGGGGTGTCGCTGTAGCTGTAGCAGGTGGTGCAAAGTCTCTGGTGTTTGAGCCGTTTGGAGGAAGGTAGTGGGTAAGGCCTTTGATGCACTGGAGAGAGGGCCGGCCCACTACATTAACAATGAAAGCAAAGTATGTCAGAGAGGCTCTTAGGCAGCATTTAAAGAGACACTAATCATGTGTAGTCAGGGCTGGACTGAGTTGAATACAGGCTTGAGCGTAAATTGTGAGAAGGCAGAACTTTCGGAAAGACATTTTCGGCCTCAGCAATTCTCCAAAGTCGGTCAGAATCCTCACAGGGAAGGAAAAGACCTTGGGATGGGGTTACGTGGGTCCCAAGTTCACTTGAATATTCTGAGCCCACAAAAAGATTGAATCAGCCGTATGTCCCTGGAATAAACTCCATCTGCTCGTGGTGCTATTTCTTTTTTTGTATAGAGTTGAACTTCACTAGCCAATAGTTTGTTAAGCATCATTCATATTTATATTTACAAGGAATATTGATTTTTTTCTTCCATATCTGGGTTTAGTATCAATATAATGGTAGCTTCAGAAAGCAAAATTCGCTCTTATTTTCGGGAGGAGATTGCACAGATTGGGTGTTAATGCTGCCTTAAACATTTAGTAGAATTCTTCAGTAAAGCCATCTGAACTCGAAGCTATCTTTTAAAGAAATTCTTCAAAAGCAAATTCTGTCTCCTTAATACTTACTTCTAGGGATTCAAATCATTTATTTCCTATTCAGTGAATTGTGGTTCTTTGTGATTTTTGAGGAACTTGTGCATTTCACATAAGTTGCCAGATTGACTTTTGTTGAGTTTGTTTATAATATTGCCTTACTTGATGTCTGTAAGGTTTTATTGATAACCTATTTTTAATTCTCGGTATTCATAATTTATGTCTTCTCTCTTTTATTCTTTGCCAGCTGTGCTAGAGTTTCATTAAATTTATCGATTGTTTGTCAGAGAACATTTTTATTTTATTATTTCTCTATTGATTTTTCAATTTTCAATTTTCACTTGTATTTTGTGGAGAAATAGGAAAAATAAATCCATTCCATCTTCCTGGAAGTAGAAATGGCTGACGAGGGCCAGTTCTCAGCCCTCCCAAACCCAAGTGCAATTTATTCCTTCAAAAGAAGTTCCAAGTATTCTGCTTTTTTTTTTTTTTTTTGCACACTTGTATTTCCCATGGTGTATACAAGCAGAAGAAATTTATACTTAAGTATCACTTTGTGTTCTTATAAACTTCAGTGTTGGAGAAGAACAAATTCCTTGTCAAATGTGTATCAGATAATAATTGTAATAAATACAGACAGAGAAGAGAGGGCTGTGTGTGTTGGGGTGGTCGGGGGTGGCTTCAAGGAGGAGAGACTAGGTGTGCAATTTGAGATACAAAAGGACAGTCTAAAGAGCAAATATTAATGAAGCAAATAGTTTGCCTTCCTGTAGAAAACTAATCAAAATGGTGTTAACTCACTTATTGAGCACGTGACATTTATGTACACGTGTGTGTATGTGTGTGTGTGTATTAGTGACTAGATTTTTGCTATGCTGGAGATGAGACTCTGGATGTCTCACTGCAGACCCTCTACACTAGGTGCACAGAGCTCGGGGAACTCAAAACCAGGCTCAATTGGTATAGACCCAGGAGTCTGGTGAAGAAGGACTGGTCCATAATTGGGCTGGAGATAAGCCACATCTATTGGCTGTATCAGGGGATGTCAGATGAGGCTGAACTGGAGAGCAAGAGAACAGGGTCAGTGGATTTAAACCTAAGAAGCCTGGCAGAGAGGGTCATGGTTGGAGGGACAGATTCTGGGTTCCGAATGAACAGGCTAATTTGCATCTTCTCTGCCATCTGGTGTCTTGGGTTGAGAAGAGAAATCCCCAGTGTAATAGGTGTTACAGTTTCACATCTGAAACTCTCATAGAAAACTTGATCGTGAGGGGCCTACCAGTCGTGCAAGGGAAAACTTGTGTCAGCTACAATTTTGTAAAGATTTCCTGGCAAGTGGTTCCAAGCTCTTTCTACTCTAGTGGAAATTTGCTTTCCAGCTGCTTTGCATTCTCTCACACCCAGGGATGGTCATCAGCCTGGACAACCACAGACATAGGTGTAGATGAACATAAAAACACCTGCTTCTTTTTATAATCACAGCACAGCCTCAAAAACACAATCAAGGAATTCCCTGGTGGTGCAGGGGTTAAGTCTCAGTGCTATCAAGCTATCGCCAGCCACTGCAGCACGAGTTCGATCCCCGGCCAGGGAGCTGACCCACATGGCACAGCAGACCTCTCCTGTCTCCCTGCTGCTCCCCTCAGCAGTGTATTTCGGTTGGTCTGCCTATTCTGCTCCCCATTCCATCTCTGGTGAATCCTCTCACCCCCTGCACCTCTGAGCT